CACAGTCTGACTTCTCCACCTTGGAACAACCTCTCCTGAACAGAGCACTGGGCCGGAGTCCCAAGCAAAGCACGGCAGTCCCGCTAAGCCAGTGAGCCGGAGATCAGAGCTGGGGGCAGCTGAGCAAGGAGGGAACTGTGCGGTGGACTGCGTATCCTCAAAAGTGTGTGAAGCCCTTGAGTCCGTGGTTGATGGCTGCACTGTCCATAGACTGAAAGATGGGTGTATTTTATTTTTTTTTTTTTAATTTTTTTTTTTCAACATTTTTATTTATTTTTGGGACAGAGAGAGACAGAGCATGAACGGGGGAGGGGCAGAGAGAGAGGGAGACACAGAATCGGAAACAGGCTCCAGGCTCTGAGCCATCAGCCCAGAGCCTGACGCGGGGCTCGAACTCACGGACCACGAGATCGTGACCTGGCTGAAGCCGGACGCTTAACCAACTGCGCCACCCAGGCGCCCCAAGATGGGTGTATTTTAGCAGAAAGCATGAACTCAACTATTGCAGAATTTCTGTATTTCAGAGGCTTTTAAGAGAAAACAAGACTTTAAAATTATCTTTATTTAGTTCCTGTTATCTGCTGTCTAAAATCGTCATGATGGGTGTTCACTTAAGATTTGTTAAGTATTGGGGCGCCTGGGTGGCTGTCGGTTGAACTTCCGACTTCAGCTCAGGTCATGATCTCACGGTTTGTGAGTTCGAGCCCCGCGTCGGGCTCTGTGCTGACAGCTCGGAGCCTGGAGCCTGCTTCAGATTCCGTGTCTCCTTCTCTCTCTGCCCCTCCCCTGCTTGTGCTCTGTCTCTCAAAAACCAAAAATAAATTTAAAAAAATACAAATAATAGATTTGTTAAGTATTCATTATTATCCTAGGCATTGGTTATATTTTTCATTCTTCATAGCAATCCACTGAGAGAAATCCTACTATCTCTCAACTACAGGTAAAGAAACTATGAAAGCTCAGTAATTTGTCCAAGAAGTCACAGAACTACCTAATGATAAACCCAGAAGTCAAAACTAAGTCTCCCAAGGCCCCTACCCTGGGCACAGGAGCCCCAAGATACTATTTCCCATACAACAGGCACACTAAGTCAATAGCTTTCATGAATTTCCATTCAGTTCTACTCAATATTTATTTCTTTAACGTTTATTTATATTTATTTTCGAGGGTAGGGAGGGGTGGAAACAGAAAGAGAGACCATCCCAAGCAGGCTCCGCACTGTCAGCACAGAGCCCTATGAGGGGCTCAAAGTCACAAACCGTGAGATCATGACCTGAGCTGGAATCAAGAATCGAACGCTCAACTGACCGAGCCATCCAGGTGCCCCTTCTATTCAATATTTAATGCGCTAGAAATTCTGTTGAGGGTTGCCGGTAAAAGATTATTAAGTTCAGATAATGTACTATTAAGAAGGACAGGGACGCCTGGGTGGCTCAGTCGGTTAAACGTCCAACTTTGGCTCAGGTGATGATCTCACAGTTCGTGAGTTCAAGCCCCATGTCGGGCTCTGTGCTGACAGCTCAGAGCCTGGAGCCTGCTTCGGATTCTGTGTCCACCACCCCACCCGGCCTCTCCCCTGTTCGCGCTCTGTCTCTCTCTCAAAAGTTAACTAAATGTTAATAAAAAAAATGTACAAAGATGACATAACAATGTGATGATTTGAGAAGAGGCTGTGAGGGACCAGTGAGGACACAGAGGGGAGACTGACCTACCAAGCCCGGCAGAGGACAGGCTTTGCTGGAGCTGCTAGGCTCTGGGCTGCGAATCCCCTCTACCCTTTTCCTTGCTGCCTAGCCCAGGGCTCTGCGGGTCACAAACGCTGACGGAACTGGGAGGCAGTACACGCAGTACAGATAGAGCGCGTGCTCTCTGGAACCGCAGTGGCCAGGTTAGGGTCCTGGTGCCACCATCTATGAGCTGTGACTTTGTGCAAGTCACTTAACCTCTGAGACCCCCCTTCCTTCCTGGGTAAAACAGGAATAACTCGTAGGATTGTGGGGACAGAAAGACATCGTGTAAAGCCCAAAGTGCTTGATAAATTTTAGCCATTATTATTCATGAAACTGACTATAGTGGACCTAAAAATCACAGTAGATTCACACCGCTCTTACTGCATCGTGCAATATGATCATCGGGCACGAAAACCCTAGCAAGTTAAGCTCTGTGTGGAAACCAAGAACCAAGTCTACTTGTTTCTCTTGCATTCCCACCTCCATTTGCCAGAGATCATGAGAACCTGTAAATCCTACTGAACAGCTTTCGACTAAAGTTTCAGAGAGGAGATGCCCTGACAATCTCGGCCTGAGCTTTGAGACCTTGCCCGTGTCATCCGGGCATTTCGTTCCTGTAGGGCTGACCTTCCACAGAAGGGTGGGTCTCCAACCCACTCGCCAGCCCCCAGTAGTAAAGCTGGTCCTACACATGTGGTCGCTTGAACTTGGTTTATGTTGGTCTGTGGGGCACCTACGTGTTTCACATGTATATTATAAGGATGAATATTTATTGAGTCATCTTACTAAGTATAAAATATTGAACCAAGTTACTGACAAGGGATAATTTGTGCTATTTTCTTGCAGATGGTTTAAATTTTCTTTTTAATTTTTTTTTTTTAATGTTTGTTTTTGTGAGAGAGAGAGAGAGAGAGAGAGAGAATGTGGACACACAAGTGGGGGAGGAGCAGAGAGAGCGAGACACAGAATCTGATGCAGGCTCCAGGCTGTCAGCACAGAGCCTGATGCGGGGCTTGAACTCATGAACCATGAGATCATGACCTGAGCTGAAGTCACACACTTAACTGACTGAGCTACCCAGGAGACCCTTGCAGATGGTTTAAAGCCAGTGGGGAAAATGTGAGGTTTGCCATCTAAATACTGGGCTTGTTCTAAAGTTAGTGAGCCCTTCACCTCACGCCAGTCAGAATGGCCAAAATGAACAAATCAGGAGACTATAGATGCTGGAGAGGATGTGGAGAAACGGGAACCCTCTTGCACTGTTGGTGGGAATGCAAATTGGTGCAGCCGCTCTGGAAAGCAGTGTGGAGGTTCCTCAGAAAATTAAAAATAGACCTACCCTATGACCCAGCAATAGCACTGCTAGGAATTTATCCAAGGGACACAGGAGTACTGATGCATAGGGT